ATCACTACTGTCACTCAGCCATCTTTACTAAAATGTGTTCTGCACAGTCCCAGCCTCTCTGTCACCTCAGTCTGGCTCCGAGTCTGACAGTGATATAGGAGTTAAGAAATTATTTATACAGCTAGTGAGGGTACGGAAGGCTTTTAATGAAAAGCTGGCTCCAAATTATTTTCTTTTCTAACAAGGTGCAGCCTGTAATATGAAGCTTCAGACATAGACAAGTAAGCTGGAAGCTTGCACGGGTGAATGCCGGCAGCTGTGCGAATAGGAATCGGACACCTGGGACTGGGCATGTTCACAATGGTGACTCCATCTTCCCTTCTCTTTGCCAGGCACGTTTACAGTAAGGAGCAGACAACATGGCGCAGGCCAAGTGGCAAACCCATTTGCATAATAGGATGAGGGTGGGGTGAACAGCCTTCCACTTGCACTATGTAAATATCACACCTGGTCCAGCCAACCTGTGGGCCCTACATAAATCAGACATCATCTCCTCAAGCCCGCCTGTAAAATCCGATGCACTCCCATTCCAGGCCGGAATTCCCTTTTGGGTGCCCCTCTCTCTCACAAGAAGAGAATTGTTCCCCTTTGTCTTTCTTTTGCCTATTAAATGTTTTGCTCCTAAACTCACTCCTCGTGTGTCAGTGTCCTTAATCTTCTTGGCGTGAGATGACACACCCTTAGTATTTACCTAGGACAATGACACCTCTTCAGCAGGTGGTCATCGGACTGGTGGAGCTTAAGACTCATGTCCATGATCAACTGCAGGGTGACTGGAGTGTTGTCCTCTTCCAAGGAGGGAGGTGGTGTTTGTCTTCTCTCAACTTTTTGCATGTTGTAAACCAAAAATAAACATCAAAGCCACCCCCTCCTAACCATCTCAATTGACACCCCCAGCCAGGGTGCTCAAAAATTAACCTGAAAGACTGAGGCCACTATGGGAAGCAGGTGTTGAACATGCCTCATTATGCCCTCTTCTCTTTTGAAATTCAGGAAAAGCTGACCAGCATTTACCACCAACACAGACCTTCAATCTGATCAGAAACATTTACAATCTACTCTCTCTGAAGCCTGGCACCTGGAGGCGTCATCTGCATGAGAAAATTTTGGACTCCACAACCTCTTATAATCCAGACGTTCCTTTCTATTGATAGTAACTCAACCAATTGCCAATCAGAAAAATTAAAAATCTAATTATAACCCAGAAGCACTACCCCGCAACCCTTGCTTGCTTCACATTGTCCCAACTTTCTGGATTGAAACAATGTATAGCTTATTGATGTCTCATATGTTCCTAAAATGTATAAAACCAATCTGTGCCCCAATCACCTTGAGCACATGTTCTCAGGGTCTCCTGAGGACTGATCATGGGCTGTGATCCTTCATTTTTGGCTCAGAATTAATCTCTTCAAATATGTTACCGAGTTTGATTCTGTTCATTGACAGTGTGGAATTCTGATGTAATAAGAGAGTTCAAGTGCTGGAGTGTGAGGAGTGGGAAAAAGTGACAAATTTTAATTATTGGAGCAGTGATCCAGGAAGAGAACTTTATCTGGTACCTGGTAGGCACGCCCAGAGTGGCTGAATGAGCCAAGACTAATAAATAACATATTTCCACTCATTCCTTTGAGGATAGATTATTACATCAAGCTTTGGTCTATCCCAGTTTATACTCTAGATTATTGGGGTGGCATTGTATGATGATGAAATGATTATTCAAACATCTTCCCTCAGCATTGTCTCTTACTAGGATTAAAACACGCAGGTTTGCAAGACCTCAGAGGTTCTGGGTCCACACCGATGCTTTATATTAATATCTATATTTTTTTGTGTGTGGAAATATTTCTGGGGAGAGAATCTCTAACATTTATTAGTTTTTATGTGACAGCCTCAAAGGCCTAAAAAATCCTAACTTCTAGGTTAGAGGTAGGACCACTCCACGTCTGGACAATGAACAGCTGGTAGTAACTTGTGTTTAATAAATAGGGACGTGAAGTAAATGCTTACATTTTGTTTATCTTTTCCTCTGGGACCAAAAAGATGGAGGTGTACCTGCTTACTCTTACTCTAAGTTTCTCTCTGTGGGATGGTGATGGGGTTTTCCTCCACCCAAATTTCTGATTCTCCAACAGCAGCTAGGAGTCCTAGAGTTCGACTCAATTCTGACACTAACTACCTGGAGTTCACCTCGGGCTCTACAGGTTTAAGGGCTCAGTCCCACAAGTCTGTCCTGACTTCAGATGCAAGTCCCAAGTATCAGGTCCCAGGTTACCTGCACTTCTGTCTATCATGGCTGCAAAGTCAGGGGTCTCTCACCTCCCAAGGACTGATAATTCTTAAACTAACTCAAAGAACTCAGGACGTTGCTATAGTCATGTAAACCAAAAAATGTCTGAGACAGGTCTCAGTCAGTTTAGAAGTTTATTTTGCCAAGCTGAAGATGCACCTTGGAAACAGAGACACAAATCATTGTAGCATTTGTGGCCCATGCTTTTTCCTAACAGGGTTTTGAGGACTGCAATATTTTAGGGGAAAGAGCAGCCAGGAGAGGAAAAAAACAGTCAACTATGCATTCATCTCGGGCTCAGGACATTTGCAATTTGTATAAGATAAAGTAAACGTTGGGTAGAAAAGTCACTGGGTGGGTGAAGGGATGATGTCTAGTCTTGTCTTTGTCTTGTACCTGTGAAGATAAGCTGTTAATTTACACTGTCAGGGGGAAATTCAACAAAACTCCATTTTAGAGTAAAGATGTTG